GCCGCTGTCGGTGCCGAAAATAGCAGCCGTGCTTCATAGGAAATGATGAATTTGACCGCTGTTTTCTGGCTTAGGAGGAGGATAACTGGAAGAATAATGTCCTCTTGCCTAATGGTTTTATGTAAGTTTCCGTAGCAGGAAGTTGCTCAATAAATAATTGCAGGGTTAATTAGAGAAGGCTTTGTAATGCGGAGCTGGCTCCTGCATTGGGGACTCCCCTGTTTTGGTTAAATTTCTTCGCAGTGTAGCGAACGGATGGTATATCCAAGGGGCGCTCAAGTCTGCAGCATCCCGGGCGTCCAGTTCTGCCGTTTCCGGACGCGAGCAGGGCTGTGACTCAGCCGCAGCATCTCGGGCGTTCGGGTATTGAAGGAGCAGGCTCTGTCAGATGCTGCAACTGGAAAAAGTCTACGAAGCCACTCAGGTTGGAACAGTGATTTAGGGAGCTCGGGAACTCTGGTATTCGTGGAGCACCTGGAATCTCTAGGCCCAGTATTTATAGGTTCGGGGTCCATATTGACCCGACTTTCAGCTTTTGGCTGTGGGAGCTGTTATGAGCGTTTTACTGTAGGTTTTGTCAAAGGCAGATGAAAGTGCTTAATGAAGGCTTGTTTGCAGGTGTGGTTTTTCTATTTGGCATGGCTGATGGCAGAGTAGGATGGAGGAAAGATGGTGCACAGCCTTTTGTGTGACAGACTAACAGATCGTAGGAGTCCCAGTGAAAATGTGGAATTCTGAGACTAGCAGAGAGTGGAGTCAGGGTAAAAGATTTTACTTGGAAGTCTGTGGGAGGGTCTAATTCCTTCCTGCTGCTGCAGTTCTTCAGCAGTTGTGTGGTCACTGCAGTGGATATCCCATTATAAAATATGGTCTGGTAAGTAAACTTCACTGCAAGAATCATACCTCAGATAAGTAGAACAGACTTAAGCCGCCACTTAACTGTGAAAGTTGCCTCAGAGTACAGGAGAGATCACAGCAAGTGTGACTGGGCAGACAAGGCAGCAGTAGCATTGCAGATAGGCCAGACTTTGACATTAGAAAAGCAGTCTGGCTTTTTTAAGCAATTTGCCAGAAGGGGAATTCCGTTCTGAAACTTCCTGTATTGATGGTGTGATGTTCCCTGCTGATTCATTTGCAGTGTGTACAGCGGCCTCCCTGAACAGCTCTTGACAAACATATGCAAATCATAGTGGAAATTAGCTTCTACTTCCTTCTAAGGGAATTTTTTCTTGGCTGCTGCCAAATCAGATCAGCCCAATTAGCTGCCTTCTGTACAAGCTGGATCAGTAGCAGGGACTCAAAAAAAAAAAATCTCTGCTTATTTCTCATTCAGTCTTTAAAAGATTGTGGTAGCTGTCTGCCTATCTAGAGCAAACATGAAATCTGAAGCTGGAAGAAAACTTTTTTGAGCATCTTCTGACTGTTCATGTCAGCCTTTCTCTAATCTGGGAATCTTAGTGAAGGTGCTTTAATTTAGGTGTTAGTTTCATTGAGATGTACCAAAAGGACACTACAAAAACTACACATCTCTCCCATTTTCTTAACTATTTCAGAGAAAGATGAGGACAGGAGGAAGAAAAGTTTTTCTGTTGGTAGAGTTGTACTAGCAGTAACAGCGCTTGGAAATGCCTCTGCTGGGATGCAGTCTGTTTCAATAATTACTTTATACTTGGTTTTAGTCTCAGAAGAAGACTGCTTGCTGACTTTTGGAAGTAGAGCACGGATTGTAGGTTGGGTTTTGTTTTTTTAAGCCCTTTAGGAAAATAAAAGCTGCTGAATCTGGTTACTTCAGAGGTGGGTGGGGGGAAAAATGCAGAACTTATTTCACCTAGGAAGTGGCTTTTGCATATGCAAAACAAATCTGGGTTATTTTTAAGATTTCTTGTGAATTTGCTTTAACATAATTCATGTAGCACAACCTGGCGACAGTGGCATAACATATTAGATCCATAATTCCTTTGTCTTAACAGCAAAGAAGTGGCAGGAAGTGTTGCTCCTTGGTTTGGGAAATATTTATTCACTTTGAATCCAGTATTAGAATGATAATATAGTACTTTTTGCCCAGATGCATAGTGTTGTGAGTAACTGGGGTTTTTTTTACTTTCATTCCCTTTAATACCTACTGCTTTTAGCATCTTTCATGATGCATAAGAGGTTTGACATTTCAGTAAGGGTAGGAGGGGAGCTTAAATGTAAGTCTATCAGCAAATTAATACAGGATAAACACTTCTGAAAACTATTGCCTTTGAAAGATTCTTGAGAAATGGGTAAGAGTGAGGCTTGATAGTAATACAGTGTGATATGAGATAGAAGCCATGGTTACATCCGCTGTGCTCTTTTCCTTTCCTACATTGTACGAAGAGGCTTCACCCCCTTCACCTCTCTGCTTCAGCTTTGCTGTTACACTTCTGCCTTTGTCTCACTTGTACTGCTTGGGGTAAGTGTAACCTGCTCGCTCTCTCTCAAGCCTCCGCGTGGGGAGGCAAATTTCTTGTCTGATTACAGAACATCTTCCCTGCTACAGGCTGCTTCATTCCCTATGCAATATATGATGCTTTCCTCTTGCTACTTTTTGCCCAGTTACCTATGCTCTCCTCCTTTCCCTCCTTCTTTCCCCTTCTGCACTTCAAACATCCTGTTTGTCTTTCTCTTGTGAGGCCATTTATGTGCATTTAGTCAGTATCTCACTGTAGTGTACTCGCTTTGTGTTCCCTATACTGCCTTGGGGTTGCTAGATATGCTCACAGTACACACCACTGCATTTGACTAAGGATTTACAGAGTCTTCAGGGGTGACCCTGCCATGTCCCAAAGCTATGGTCCCTGGTTGTAATGTGCCTTTTTTGCTACTGGAACCTCATGCAAATATCTAGTCATAACTAAGCACTTAATGTCCTGCTTAGGCTCCAGATATTTTCTACACAAATTTCACTTATGAAATTTAATAACTTTAAGGTTTACAAGCATTCATTGCACACACCCCCCTAACTTGTGTTATTACATCTCATACTTCACAGTATCTCTTGTTTTGTTGGCTCCACAACTGCTTATACAGGTGTCTCTTAAGATTAGGCAGTGTTATGTTTTGCACAAAAGGTTGTTAAATCTATTTGCTAGCATGCTAAGTGGCATTGGGATTTGAAGTTTCATTTGAGTGTACAGGAGAAGAGTAAGATTTGGGGATGAGAGCATACCCAGGTGAGGAAATCCTACTGAATTATGAGGCCATTTCTCATCTTCAGTATAATTCATCTTATCAGAGTGTCATCCTGAAATGCAGACTCTTATTGAAAGTTGGTCAGTACTGTTGTCTGCAGAAGAACTAACAACACTGAATACTGGAACTCATAAAATAGGATGGGTAGTTTTCATCTAGAAATTTAGAAATTTCTGGAAACTTATTGATGTGACTTAATGAATAATTAAGAAGCAGCTTTTTGTATTAGTAGGTAGCTTCTGACACTATTGTTAAACTTTTCTTTCCCTTGATTCTAACTGCCAAGTGTCATTAAGATATTCAGCATTGATTGCAATTTCATGCAAACAGTGCACTTGGCAACAAGCTTTCTGGACCGTAATATAATGAAGAAGCATCTGTCCTCAATAATGTTGTCTTTGAAGTAAGAGTGTATAAAATGGCTTGCTCTCATTAAATCGTCAGAGTAACTTTACAAGCGAAACCACTTAGTGAATATGTAGTTCACAGTGGCAGAGGCTAGGCACTGGTGCTAGCTAGCAGAACAGGACAAAGGTGGTTCAAAGGTATGTTATACTCCAGGCAAAAAATCTGGAGTTTAGAACTGAAGAAAAAAATTTGGGATGTCAGCAGCTGAAAGTGACGATTGCTTTTCCCTTTGCTGAGGATTTGGGTGTTTGTTAGTATACTGAGGTGTCAACAGCAACAGTAACTCTCTGAAGATCTTAGTGCTAGTTACACAAGTTTAACAAAGAATACTCATTCTGCTACTCAAATGTTTCACCAAAGGTTGTCTAAATTGCTGGATCCATTTGCTTCGTGTACTGTCTGAGTAGTCTGAACATTACCTAAATATTGAAATCCTCACAATTGTCTTCTTCAATGCAGCCATGGAAATAAAGAAGTGTTCTCCTGCCGAGGTATCCTCCTGGCTGTACAGTGGTTTTGGGACAGAGGACACAAGGATATTACAGTCTTTGTGCCATCTTGGAGGAAAGAACAGCCACGACCAGATGTACTTATAACAGGTGTGGAAATATGAAAACCAAAAGTAGCTTTTCAGGCTTATTGCTTTGTGACTTAATGAGCTTGCAAAGTTCTGACTAGTTAGTAATTAACTCATGAATGGACGATCTGAGTGGTAGGAGATCCAATCAGCTCTACTGACCAGTGAGATTTAAAGTTATTAACTTCTCCCCTAAGCAAGTTTTTGCCCGGATCGGTTGGAATAATTCAGAGAACAAAGAATATAATGCTCCTCTTTGCTTCCTAACTTGTATTCTTTCCTCATGTGAAGTTTTCCTCCTTGAAGTGATTCATTTTCATGCTATATATTTGACTAATATATTTGACACTGTAGACTGTACAGAACTTCCCCAATGTGCTGAAAGTTAACGCTTGATGGAGGTTTAGAGTTATTCATATTGAAGGGAACTTGCTGTGAACTTACAAACAACTGAGATTTCTGACTAAATCCACTCAAAAGAAATTTCTGCATGTAGTAAAGCAGTAAAAGAGAGGCTAGCCTGCCAGTCTTAAATGCAAATCAACACTCTGTATCCATGCAGTTATGTGGATGAGACTTGCTGTATTGCAGCAGCTTCTGTGATTCCTGAATGTTTTTACATGCTATACAGGTGCCAGGGCAAGGAATCTACCTCTGGCAAGCCTAGCAGATGCTATAAGAGCTGGGAATAGAGGCTGGGTTGCAGAAAGATGAAATAACTTTTCCTTTTCTGTTTTGTGTTTTTTTTAAACATCATCAGTGAGGGGAGGCCTTTGGGCTGCGCGCATTTGTGTAAGTATGTTCACAGTTGTGTTTGTTCTAGACCAGTACATTCTCCGTGACCTTGAAAAGAAGAAAATTCTGGTCTTCACTCCTTCCAGGCGGGTTGGAGGCAAGCGTGTTGTCTGTTATGATGATCGATTCATTGTGAAACTGGCACATGAGTCTGATGGCATTGTGGTTTCTAACGATACTTATCGGGACCTGCAGAATGAGCGTCCTGAGTGGAAGAAATTCATTGAGGAGCGTCTGTTGATGTATTCGTTTGTAAATGACAAGTATGTTCCCATTCTTCCTTTGCTTTAAAAAAAAAAGTGCCAAATGAACAAGCTGCCTTGTTTTAATGAAGCAATAGCATATGATGCCTGAAAAGAGCAAAAGGCTGGTGCAGAGGGGGAAAAAAAAAAAAACCAAAACCTCACAGCAATCCTGAGCCCCCTTTTGTAGAAGGAAGAATGACTGGAACTGCCCAATTGGGAGGGTACAAAGGCATAAAGAATTGGAGTAATCTTAATTGCTCTTCATGGTTTGGAGCTAGGAGCTCTGCCTTACTGGATTTCCTAGAAAGGCGCCTGGGCTTGATTTCCTCCCAGGGCAGTCATTAGCAGGCTGCCCAGCAGCAAGGTTTACCTTCATGCATGAAACGGTGACCAGCAACAGAGCACAAACTTCCCCTGTGCCTGAAGAGAAGCACCTCATGCCAGTCTTTACCAGGTGACTGGAGAGTTCTCTTCAATGACATAGGAAGACTTTTTAGGGATCAGGTAGCTTTTAATCTTCATTACGTGGGAGACTTCTAGAAGAAAGGAAATCCTGATGCCAGAAAGTGAACTGCTCCTGACTGAGATTTTTCTCTTTAGGTTTATGCCTCCAGATGATCCCTTAGGGCGACATGGCCCCAGCCTGGATAACTTTCTGAGAAAGAAACCTGTGGTGCCAGAACACAAGAAACAGCAGTGCCCTTATGGTAAGACCTGCCTTCTAAACATGAAGACTGAAGTGTCTGTATGAAGTATATATAATTCGTGCACTTAGTAAATTTCAGCTGGTCATTCCATGCTCTGCCTTTTCTTGCAGGGAAGAAATGCACTTATGGAATTAAGTGTAAATTCTACCACCCTGAAAGGATCAATCAACCGCAGCGCTCATTAGCGGATGAACTCCGAGCCAATGCAAGGTTGTCTCCTACTAGAAGTACCAGTGCTGCCAAGGAAGAGAAAAAGGGCAAGAAAGCTTCCCAAGCAGAGCTCTTGTGCTCTGTGCCCACAGAGTGTGATAAAAGCTCTCTGCAGAAGGTCTCTGCAGAGAGGAAAAGCTTGACTCATAAAGCAAAGCCCAGTGATGTACCCCTTCAAGTCAAAGGCTCTGTGTCAGGCAGTGTCCCCCCTAATAATGGGAGCCACAGATCTTCTGACAGGTACCAGCATCCTCATTTGGACTCTCTCTCTTATATCTCTCAGGAGCATCTCGACTCAGGCATTGGCTCTCTGGAGAACCAAATGTCTGATATGTGGCCTTACAGATCTACCAGTCACTGTGATCATTCCCATGCTGAGCAGGTGGCACTCTGCACCTGTGGAAGGCAGAGACCTGTCTATGCACATTCTCCCAGCTTGGAGCAAAATGGTTTGGTCTCTTACAAGCATGGTTCCCATAAATCTACTTCCTCTGGTGCTAGCTTCTTGCAGTATAGCCCTGAGATATCTCTCTCAGGGCCACCTCACTCTTTCTCAGGCTATGGAGTACCTGTTCATCCAGCCAGTGCTGGGCAATACAGTCTGCCCAATGAGTATAATGCCCCTCCACCTCATTCTCGTGATTATTGGTCTGAACCGTACCAGGTGCCGCCGCCGCCTCCTCAGGCAAGATCTACTGGTGTGCGAGATCCTCGATCAGTACAGAGAGCCCCGGGGCCGACGTATGGGGGGGACTCTTGCCAGTGGGCTCCCTCAGACCAGTTTGCAGAGGAGAGGGCCAATGTGCATGTCAAGCTGTGTGGCATTTTCCATCCCCATTTAGTGGATGCTGTGATGAGCCGTTTCCCTCGGCTTTTGGATCCCCAAAGGCTAGCTGCAGAAATACTCACGTATAAGTCTCAAAACCCAGGTATATGAGCAGATGCTGAGGGGAGCCAGGCATACCAAAAGCTTGAGAGGAAGTATTTGTCATGTGGAGAGCACTCTGTAGCTGCCATAGGTGCCCTTTGAGGGCTCCTCCTTATTTCTTGGAAGCACTCGGCTCAAACTGGAGGCTGAGTACCAGGTGTGTTATGCTCACAGTGAATTCTGGTATTGTCATGACTGTACCCCTCTTAAAGATGTAAGAACAGCCTATGGCCCTGTCTTCCCCGGAGCATATTTAAGAGAATCTGGGAGCTGAACAGGAGAAGGGTTGCTGTTTCAGAGCAGGGTTTTTCCTGTGGAGGTAAGTGGTAAGTCAGGCACATCTTCAGTTGCTGCGGTTCAGAACTGTATGTGGCCTCACTCTTCCCATGAGCTCTGGCTTTGAGATGGCTTAGTGTATCATCAGGCATGTGGAGGAAGAACTACAGGGCTTGTGAATGGCAGGGGACTGCTCCTTTGTAGTGGTGTGACACTTGTTTGTGAAGGTTGCAATGCATAGTCAAGGCTGTTCTTAGCTCTTAACTAAGCCTTTCTGCTAAATTCTGCCATGCAGATCTGTGGAAAATGTTGGATTATAAATCTAGTATGAAGCTAGATTAGCTGACTGATTTGGTTTTCCTGGGCACTTCAGTGATACTTTCCTTACCTAACCTCCTACTTGAGCTTACCTTCCTGAGAGGAGGTAATTCTTCAATATATACCACAAATGTTAAGCAAGCTGCACAGCTCCCAGAAACAGGAAGAGCTAGGAGTGTAATCCTTCCTTTCTCAGGATGAAAGACCTGACACTTGCAAAGCTGTATGTGAGCTGTATGTTCTGCATTTGCTGAAAGGCATTTGTCAGAACATGTGGATGACCACACTGTTGATCGTGCTCTAAAACACTGACCTTGCCTTGTAACCAGTCTTAGGCTCTCTGTGTAACACTGACAAAGAAGATTTACAATATTGTGCCTATTGTCCTCAGACAGCAATAGTTTTGAGCGTTCAGTAAAACAGCTGTAGTCAAATCTAGACTGCTGCCAATACTGTTCCTGAGGCTTTCTCAGTATTTTTTCTAAAAAGCTGTTGCTTCATCTTCTCACTAATGTTTTCCTGTCCCCTTCAGCTTTGTCAAGCTACAACAGCATCCAAAAATGTGTAATAAGGCCTGTTTGGTAAGACTGTTCCCCTTTCATTCCCTGTTCCTTTGTAAGATGTTTTTTACTGTAGATACTGTAACAGATTTTAAATATGCAAAAACCATTACGGTAGTAATTGGTTCTGGTCCTGGAATTTCACTGTGCTTAGAATACAAAGAAGATTCTCGCACTTGCAGGCCAGAAGCAGTTGATTTGTTGATACACATTGTATCTGTGTGGGTTTTTTGTTTTGGTTTTTTAAGTAAGTCCATCTTGTGGTTAAACCAAGGTTGTTGAGTGGCAAATTACGAAGGGGAGAGTGGAATACAGCTGTTGCTGAGAATACTCTTCAGGAGCCATTTTGTCTATTATGATTCTTCCCTCTGTCCAAGGAGTGACCTACCCAAACTGGCACCATGTGCCGTAGAAACCACAGGGACACAGAAACCTGTATACCTGGTTAATTATGATACATTACAAAATTGTAATGTTTCATGTTAGTAAGCAAAATGCTTCTTAATTTTAAGTAACCTGATACTTTGCATATTTGTAAATTACAGGAAAAATAGTTTTTAATGTTATTGTCCAGGAACTTGCTGCTTGATGCTGTTTTTAATTAGTACTGTTCTTGACTCAGCCATTGTGTTACTTGGCGTGGTCTGTTTTGTTTTTCTGACAGAATGCTGATACATGCTTATTCTCTTGCAATCAAAAGATTAACATTTTATACTCAAAAGCTGACATTTTACTGAACTTTCTATATCATTATGGAATATATAGTTTATGTACTGGATGGAGGCAGCCATGTGAAAGCTATGGCAAAGTAAGAACTTGTATTATATAAATAAAAACTGCTGGCTTGAATTACTTCATCTCTGGTGGCTTTTTGAAAGTCCATTTGATGTTTTGGCTCACTTCCCTGGGAAGCTGGAAAAATTATCCTACCTCCCTGGGGTCCCTCTGACAATCTTAGATGTCTATACGCAGTGTAACGACAGCAGCAGGCTGGCTGGATATTCAAAGGCTTGTTAACTGGTGCGGTGCGATGGGTCAAAAACCCCTCCAAACAGCTTGCTGCAGCAGATAATGGCATGTTCAATTACTAGTTTGCTGTTTATGCAGCATGGCTGAAGCTAGGCTGTTGGATGTGTTCTGAGGCAGCTGTGCGGATTGCTGATGTTGCTGGCATGGAGGCTTCATTTCAGAGTGGGGAGGAAAATAAAGCAGATGGGAAAGAGGATGGGGATAGAGGAACTTCAATCCTGCATTTTTGCAGTGAGATATAATCAGTTATTTTGGAAGAAACAGTGGGGGTTTTGCTTCAGTTTTATGACCAGTTTCCACTGTATACTCTGGAAATAAAGGCATGCTTTCTCCTGTTAGCTCTAATAGAGGCATTAATTTTCTACAGCTTTAACTTAAGCAGAGGTGAGCATGTTCTCCAGTTGACTGGGGAGGTAGTAAAATCTACTTCATATGTAGCATTGTGCCAGGTGTTGAACATGTTAGTGTACTGACTGTACCATGGCAAGGCATTGCTGTAGCGCCTTGCTATGAACAGGGAATGAAATGCAATAGGAATATTAATATTTGCATTTCTGTGGAAAAATCTTCCCCTCCCACCTGCTATACTGCAGTACAGCATGTTCTTATCTGACTTGGCAAATAACTTTATGGTCTTTATTCAAATTTGTGCTCTTAGTTTAATACGGGGCAATGGCTATTTCTAGTTAATCACAAACAAGGGAAACAGGTGCTCCTGGAGTTAGTCTAGCTGGCTGGTTTCAAAACAAATCTGAAGTTTCCTGAACCTCACAGGCTGAAAGGTCATTTATTGGCTGTGGGAGAGGAACCCTCCTGAGGGCATTCTTTGAAACAGGAGCATGTTTGTGTGGCTCTGTGCGTACAGTAGTTATACTCTGGGGATGCAAGTGATGTGTCACAGATTTGATCAGACCTTTTAACTAGGTGAAGACTCCTCTGCTGTTTGCAGTGGGGTCTGCATCTGGTATTGAATAGCTGGTTATACGATGAGACAGCTGGTTAAATATGACTTATAACCTGTTGTGTTTTCTTGCCCCTAAACTACTGCCTCTCTAAAGCAATACTGACCTTTGGCTGTGTCACTTTTTAACCCAGAATGAAAGCTATGTGGTCAAAAAATGTTCCAGGATTTCAAGGCTGGGCCTTCCAGTAAAATGACATCTTTATAGATGATGATTATTTTCCAGGGTGTGTATGTATGTGAGGATTCTTATTATTTTGATCAAACCTAAAGTGATACAGATAAAGGAATGTGTGCTGAAGCATAGAGGTTAGTTTCTGTAACCAGAAAGGGAAGAGCTAGTGTCAGCAGTTTGGCTATGATGTCAGTGGCCCCTTTTTATTGCAGTGATAGCCCTGGTGCCATACTGAAAAGTCCGGAAGGACAGATCTAATGCGAATCTGGTCAAAACTGTCCCTGCAGTCTCACTGCTGCTATATGTGTTGCAGCATCACCTTTTTTAAAAAAAAAAAGGCAGAAATTCAGGCACTCTGAATTCTCTCACCCAAGGCTTCTGCCCTGGAGACTGTGCACCTCCCAGTCCTGAAGCAGATGGCTGATGGCATCCTCAGGGTGAGTGCTCCTCATGTACCATCAAGGCATGTCAGTCAGCCGGACGTGCCTGTGCTCCAGTTCATTCCTGGCGCTGGTCGCTTGGGGAAGTGGACAATACTTAGGAGTATAGTGATTGGTGCATATTTGTTCTCATCTGTCAGCACTGAGTCAAAGCAGCCTGCTGCTGAAACCATCGCTGGCCCCTCCAAGCTCGGGCTGGGTCTGGGGTGCGCTGCTGTTTGGAATTTTTGAGCAGCATGCTGTGGCTCACCGCTTCCCTGGCGCTTCAGAGCGGAGAGGATCTGTCGTGATTGCTGTGCACTTGCTTTGTATTTCTTACCTGCCTAAAATAGGTTAGAGCATCTTGTCAGCTTACTAATCTACTGAATCAAAGTTAAAGAGGTCACTCACAGGCACCCTACTGAAAGCTTTCTGTGCTTCAGCAGGATTGCCCTGCCTTCATCCTCTCAGCCTTGTGCTGGGAGCAGAGCACTTAGGCTGAGCCCTACAGGAGGCTAGCTCCTGCTCAGGCAGCTTTTCTGCCTTAAAGGGTGTGCCCATTGGGAAGGGGGTCTCCCAAGCTGGAGAGGAGTGCAGTAGGCTCCTGAGAAGTGCCAGGGCACAACCACAGGGAAGTGGAGAATTCCTGTGGTGTCCAAAACTGTTTTCTGTTGGACAGGGGGGGCCGGTGGGAGCTGGTCAAATGGCTGTAAGCTCTGCAGAACGAGTCTGGCAAGCCCTGTCCATTGCCTGCTCCTTCCTTCCAGCCGGCTGTTTTGCCTGCTCCCTCCAGTGCAGTCGAGGCATTCTTGTTGTCTCCTGCGCTGTGTCCCGCTTGAGCAGGGTGCCTGCACTGAGCCACAGGAGACTGGAGCAGCTACATCCTCCCTGCAAGTGCCAGGCTGGGCTGGCAAGGGGCGTGGGGGGTGGGGGGGGCTGAGGCCAGGAAAAACTCCTTCCACTGGGAAGTGGGGAGGCTGAGTCGGGGGGTGCATGCAAAGAAGAATGAGGAGTCCACTAATGTTTTGGGATGAAGATGGAGAACCACCTTCTCTTTGCCTTTCCCAGTTGTGTTAGGAATAGATGCAAAGGTAATTCAATCTCATTAAGGAAAGCTTTACTTTCACTGCACAACAGAAGAACAAGCAGGCAGGAGAAGAACCTTCTTATAGAAGTCCATGCTGCAGGGTTTCTTGACTTTTTTTTGTTTTAACTGATAAATAAAAAGGAAAGGAAGAAATGAAAAGCTGTGATGTGAGAGGTCAGGGTGGAGACAGCTGTGTTCTCTTCCTCCCATTCCAGTGTGCTGAGCTGTGAAGGGGAAAGGCTGGTGGGCAGCAGACCCAGCCCTCTGCCTCCAGCTTGGTGGAGATCAGGCACTTGGTCTTGCCAAGGGTCTAGGCTCAGGGTGCCGTAGCCTGGTTTCCAGAGGACTTGCTTGCACTTCCCCTTGCACGAGCTGCCTTGTGCCTTTCTTTGCTGCTGAACTTTAATTTGAACCCATCAGGTCCCCTCCCATCAGGGGATTTCCAGGATGTGGCTAGCTCAACTCTAACATTTGAAATCCTCTTCAGAGGGCAGGAATCTGACATGAGACTCCTGCATGGGCCGTGGGAAAGGGGCTGCTACGTAATGGAAGCACGCTTGCGTGCTCGGTCATGTGAGAGTGCTGTGATACCACCCCTCCAGGGCAGGCCACGTTACAAGGAGGGAGTTTCAGTATCAAGCTCCTGTTTTCACCCTATGCTGAGGCAGTGTGGCTGATGCCCTCTGTGCAGATAGGAAGAGGTCTCCTGCAGGAAGGTGGTAGTTCAGCACTGTGTGACTGTGAGATGCTGCTGTTGCAGCAGGGCAGTTGGAAAGGCAGTCTTGCGAAATTTCAGTATAAGCTGCCAAGGTCTGCAGCTTTCTTGACAGGAGTATATGGCTGGAAAACAGGGCGAGCTGCGGCTGGGACAGAGATCTGTGGGACGGAGAAGGTGCTCTGGAAGGTTGGGAGTGGTGCTGTTCAGTCTGTTACGCTCCTTGTTTCCAAAGGCCCTGTCCCTCATCAGGACAAGGGGATCCTTTGGGGTTTAGAGCCCGGCCAACGTTATCCAAATGTTATGTGAAAGGCAGGAGTTCTCTGTGCTGAGTGTGAAGGTCTTGGCTCAGAGCCCAGGAACTGGAGTAGGTCCTGGAGGATCCAGCTGTGTTCCCTTCCCATCCTCCCCATCTCCAGGATAAGGATAGAAGGGGAAGAAGTGAAGGAAGCAAGTATCTCCCAAAGTAAATGTGCATTTCTTGTTTGCTGTGGTGCAACAACAGCTGGGGCAGGGATTGTGCCCTGCAGGAGGGAAGGAGAGCGTGCGCAGACAGAGGAACTGGTGGTATGCTAGGGGCTGCAGAAGTTCCCTGTGCTGTGGGCACCCGTCACTGCTCGCCCCTCTAGCCGTGCATTTTTCAGTGTGCCTATCACCAGAGCTCCTCAGTGCCTTGGGGTCTGGGTCCTGAGTATCCCTGCGCTCCCTAAGGCCAGGGCTGGCTAGGGAACAGTTTTCGTTTAAAGAGTTGCATCAGGGCAGCAGAAGCGCGTTCTTGCCATCTCAGTTTCTTGAGCAAACTGCCCTGACCCCTAAACAAACCTAAAGCCCTTGCTGCAGTGATCAATATGAGCGGCAGCCAGTTCAGACCTTGTGGTGAAGCCACAGACCATGAGCAAAAAGCAGCTTTTAGTTTCCTTGCTGCCGAGAATGCCTTCTCCCCTCCCCTGAAGGCCTGCATTGCACAAATGTTTTGGAGTAAATACAGCGTCTGGTTGAGCAATAGGTCCGGAGGATTTGCATAGCGTGTTTGCCGGGGGGGAAAGGTTTCCATATCTAGCTGGGCAGCTATTGCCTCATTTGGAGACGGCTTGGTGAGAGTGCTGCAGCTGGGAGGCTGGCCACACACATGGGGCTGTGTTTCAGTGGGGAGGAAGTGCTCTGCGAATGTAGTTAATGGCATTTGATTTCACTCCCCACCTCTTAAACCTCATCCATGGCTCAGTCAGCGAGCTGCTTTCAGAATGGGGCTAGCAGGGGATTTCCAGCGCAGCCTCGTGGATTGCCGTAAGAGCGCTGAGCTGCGGCAGGGGGGCCTTGCCACCCGCCGCTGCGACATGCAACGTGGTGCTGCCTGTTTCTTCTCAAGAGAAAAAAAAGGTCTCGCTGAGTGGATGCTGCTTTGATTCATGCAAAAGTGGGGCTGGCCAGCTGTGGGCTGGGGTTTTGCTG